ATCAATATACTAAGGGCCTATATCTTACCAAAATGGCTCTATTCATGGAGAATGATCACCCTTAATTGCCCCCAAAACTGGTTATTAATGCTACATGCCTCTTTTTTAAAAGTTGTCTGGGATGGAAAGAAACCAAGAGTAAATATGAAAAATTTAGCCAGGTTAAGACAAGATGGAGGTTTGAGTTGCCCAGAAATTCATCAATGTTATCAAGCCAGTAGATTGTTTCATATAATGTTATCACAGAATACATCCGCAGAAAAGGAAAAATGGTATTCAATAGAGAAAGATTGTACAGGGGTAGATAATTTATCCTCTTTATTCTGGATTTTAGATCTCAACAAAAATGTTATAACTGAGGCAAGATCCAAATCACATGTTATTAGAGATCTAACAGCTTGGTGGGATATATTTAGAAAAATAGTTGGATTAAAGTACAGAATTATAGATTCACTACCAATTACAGTGATTAACGATTTGCTGGATAATATTGATTTCAACTCTTGGAGGAGCAAGAGAATAAACAAAATCATAGATATAACAGAGGATCATAAAATTAAGCCCTTCCAACAAATAAGAGAATAATTTGGTATCCTACCGAAGGATATCTTTAACTACCTAAGAATTAAAGGGTTTGTCTCAGCTTACATGATTAAGAATAGAGAGCGTAAAACAGATGGGATTTTTCAACTTGACGAACAAAAAAACTGTAAAAACATGTTGTCTAAATGTCTTAAAGTTTTATATAAGTTAAGACATGATAAACTTTCCAGAGCAACTGAAAAGTGGGAAAAAGATCTTCACACACAAATAGAGGAGGAAAGTTGGAAAAGTTATTTTAATAAATTATATAAACACGTCTACTGCTTAAATTTCACAGATTTGCAGTTTAAACTTTCGAACAGATGGTACTTAACACCGAATTTTTTAAATAAAGTATACCCAAACACTTCCGTTAGATGTTGGTGGTGCAATATTGATAAAGGCACTTTATTACATATATGGTGGTACTGCCAACCAATATATATTTATTGGAAAGATATAATTACACTAATTGACTTTATGACAGGAAATAAATTGGCAATGGAGCCGGGAATAATGCTATTACATTTAAATAAGTCTGAAATGAAGATGAAGAATTCGATGTTAATCTTACATATCATCACAGCAGATAAATTACTGATAGCACAGAAGTGGGAAAATGTACAAATTCCATCTATACGAGAAGTGATATTACAAGTTGTAACGGACCGTTTTGCCCAAAAGAGGTTAAAAACCGTTTAGTCGATATTCCCCTTTTCCAGCTGCACTGACAGCTACTGCAAGCACCAATCTCCTGAACTGCAAACCCACGAATTCACCAAGCTCGAACTGCAACCAAGGGAATACTCGAAACTCCCGAACTGGAGACACACGAATAGCTGCTAGCAGACGAACAGGAAAAGTCCCCAAGCGGCTTACACTCCTGGCAATCAGTCTCTAACAGCATACAGTAAATCCTCCCCCAATAATGAGACGACACTTCACTTTGAGGGTTAAGCAGGAACTGATTTACTGGGGCTAACTGCCCGGCTTTTATGCAGGTCTCCCACCTGGTGGACACTCCCCTAGGGGACCAAATGGGAGACTGGGACACAAAGGGTAAAAGGACCAATCACAGACTTAAACATTTCAACCATCCCACAATGCATCACAATCCCTCCTCTCTGCTCTGGAGATAATTGAGAAGTAATTCAATTATCTCCAAAGACAGAGGCAAAACTCCATTAACCACATGGCAGAAAACAAACAGTAAAAGACATAAAATTACCTACAGTTACATTCAGTACATAAAACATATACGTTCTACATATCCCCAGATAGCTCAGGTCTGAGCGCACATTATTAAGCGAATGGCGCTCAGACCACACGAATACAGTTTAATCGCCATGGAGCCAAAGTCTTTACACAGTCAGTTTCATGCGAATGGGCTCCATGGGATTCCTATCTGAGGTACAACACACTCAAACAAAATTACCGAACACCGGGCCGTTCGTGCACTGAACAAGAAGGGAGGTCGGTGGCTTCAGCGGTGTTCGCGCAAAACTGTGTCCGATTTCAGTTCCATGAATTAAGCGTCGAACACCGCTGTGCATTCGCTGTTTAAAATGGCCACGACCTCGTGTTCGTGATACGAATGGCGGCCACCCAGCATTCGTCAATTAAGCTGCGGTTAACCGCAGCTTCAGGGAGGTTAATTGCCGGCACACTCCAGCTCCCAGGTGGTCTATTCATTTGTGCGGTTGTTCGGTAGATTGATTCTACCGAACACCCAGCAGAAAAGCACGAATAAGTCTTTTCTGCAGGGAAAAAGATGTCTTTTAACATGGGGCCATAGTCCAAAGGCAGCAGGCGAGCAACCAGGCTTCTCCAGTGTACAGTGACGAGGTTGGTTTCGCCACACAAGTAATTTGGCAAACAAAAATGAAAAGAGGAATCTTGGTGATCTTAAAAAAACGTTATACACAAATAGAATATTGGGACAACTGGATAGATAAATTAGAATTTTTCTTAAAAACGTCATAAAGGGTCTCTCATATAGAGAAATGGAATGGAACTGGGAAGTGGATAAAAAAGATTAATGGTAGATGTAATGTGGTGGCAATAAGATAGGAACATACGGGTTAATCGTGCGTATAACAAAATAGATGACGATAGTAGTTTGGTCAAAGAGACTAAAGGGCTCTCTCTCTCCCTCTACAAATAAAGATAAGGAACATTAGATAAGCAAGTTTATTAGGGTTATGATAATTAAGACAGGGATGGGGTGGGGGCAAGGGGCAGAGGGGAAGAAATAGGGAAATATAGGAGGCAATAAAGGTTAATTCCATTAGTTTTTTTCTTTTGTTGGAGTTATGAATAGAAGAAATATTGTATTAAGGATGATAGAGAGACCTTGAAGTTGCGTACATCATGTTATAGTTTTAATAACTATATAATGTTAAGGTATCTATCTGAAATATATATTAAAAAAAAGATTAATGCCTCCTGCCCCTGTGTCGGCTAGTATGACAACCCACTCATCCAGCGGTTCTCTTGGCCGCTATCTGATGGTTGAAAGAATGTCAGCCATCTCTTGCTTTGTGTAATCTTCTATAGAAGTTCTTCCCACTTGCCCTAGTTCAGTATACTCCATTTTTTCTACCTCTTCATTGTCTGAACTCCAGATGTCTCCATCCCAGGTGTCAGGATCCCAATTGGGTCCTGCCTGAGCTAAAAACACCTGCAGTTTATTCCTACTCACTTTCCTATGCTTAGATTTCCCTTGTGTTTTTTCCACCTTCATGACTAATTTAGTTTTTTTCTTACAGATCTGTACCTGCCTTATATAAGTTTTGGTGATGCTTATGTAATTCAGGCCTTGGTACTATGTCATCATCAATATCATAAATGTATCATAAATATATCTTGGAATTCTATTAATCTTACTAATCCCTCCCACCCGGATCCCCACCACCCCTATTAATTCAGTTTTAGTGTAAGTTCTTGTCTGTCTACTTTACTCATATGTTCTTGGCAAGGCCGGTGGAAGTTTTTTTGCTGCCCTAGGCAACAAATATCTGGTCCCCCATTCGCTCCACAGTGGTGCTGTAGGTTTAACCCCACAAGATAAAACATTGCCTTATCTTGAAGGGTTAAACAAAACTCTAGTAGCTGTCACAGTGATCGCCACTAGAGACACCTCCACTACAATGCCATGTTTATATATATACACACATACAGACTCACACTCACTGGTCCACACAATCACAATCAGTGACCAATGCATAAATAAATTCACTGATTCACGTAGAGTCTCACACACACACACACACACACTGACTCATGCAGACATACACTGACTTATGTAGACTGACATACAAACATACACACACTGGCCCAAGCATACACACACTAAATACAAGAGGTATATAAATATACAAGTGAGGGCGCCACTATCACAAGGTGTGGGTAATATTTGCCACTCAGTCGGCAAGGATGACATGTGGAAAAAACATAAAGAGAAAACATACATAGTGAAGTATTTAATGATTAAAATGACAAATATTAATAGCAATGACATAAAACTCACAAGAAAAGTGGCACAAAGAGAATTATATCTGTTTGTGCAAGAAAGCTTATAAGCCTCAAGGGGGCTTACTCGCCAATCTGTGAAAAAATGGGCTGTTGGTGCCTCTTGTTCTGGCTTACAGGTGTCAGCTTCCTTCCCTGGAGTAACACAGTAACTGCTAGCTTGATGCGTTTCGTCCATTCAGACTTTCTCAAGAGCCTGATGTCCTCTTCTGATCTGGCGTGTTTAAATAGGTTGCGCGGCTATTCAACAGCGTGCAGATGTGCAGTCCATGGGAAACAAACTTAACGTTCTGACGTTCTCGTCTGACCCACTGCGCATGCGTTTGCTGTTCAGCTTGGAATGCAAAATAACTTTATTGACAATGTATGCCCTGGGACCAGGGCCGTCTTTAACGCGGGGCAAACGGGGCAGCTGCCCCGGGCCCAGTTGCTCCTGGGGGCCCAGAGCAGCTGCTCTGTGGGCCCCGCGATTTGCGCAGGCCCTGCGGTGCGGCTCCCGCACACTGAGGAGGCTCCTCGGGTGGCCCATGCACTAAAGGCCACCCGGGGAGCATGTGTCAGCAGGGGCCCGGTCGGGCGCTGTGGCGCTTAAACAGCGCGACCGGGCCCCTCTTCCGGTTCTGCAGCCGGCTGGGAGGAAGTGACGTCACTTCCTCCCACCGGAGATAGCCGCGCGGGAGGAGGAAGGCAGGGAGGAGGGGAGTTTCAGAAGAGAACTCCCATCTGCCTCAGCCTGCCACTGGACCAGGGAAACCACCCTCCAGGAAAAGGTAAGAACCTGGGGGGTGGCTAAATGTATGTCAGTAGGTCTGTGTGTGTGTGTCAGTGTGTGTATGCCTGTGTGTGTGTGTCAGTATGTCTGTGTGTATGCCTATGTGTGTATGCCAGTATGTCTGTGTGTGTGTCAGTATGTCTGTTTGTATGCCAGTATGTCTGTGTGTGTGTCAGTATGTCTGTGTGTATGCCAGTATGTCTGTGTGTATGTCAGTATGTCTGTGTGTGTGTGTGTGTGAGTGTCAGTATGTCTGTGTGTGTATGCCTGTGTGTGTATGCCAGTATGTCTGTGTGTATGCCTATGTGTGTATGCCAGTATGTCTGTGTGTGTGTCAGTATGTCTGTGTGTGTGTCAGTATGTCTGTGTGTATGCCAGTATGTCTGTGTGTATGCCAGTATGTCTGTGTGTGTGTGTGTGTGTGTGTGTGTGTGTGTGTGTGTGTGTGTGTGTGTGTGTGTGTGTGTGTGTGTGTGTGTGTGT